AGGGAGTCAGACACAGCCATGGCAGAGCCTTCATCTTACTGCACATTCTTCCCCAGCCTGTTCGTTCAAGTCTTCACATAAATATCGCCTGTTACAGAATCTTTCTCAGGCCATCTGGTGGTATGGTGGTTAGGGTGGCTGGATCCCACATGGTGGACACCCCAGTTCAAGCCCCAGCCCAGGCAACTTGAAAAACATGCCAGGCACGTGTGCTTATATGCCCAAAATCCTGAAAGGAGAGAGAGAGATGGAGAAGAGATTGTGGTGTGGCTACTCCCCATGAAGAGGTGAGGGCCCTCTGGCAAAAATAAAATAAGATAAAATGAAATGAAATTAAAGATGGGTCTCTCAGAACCAGCAGATGGCATAATGGCTATGTTGCTGGACTCCCATATAGTTGACCGCGGTTCCGCAGTTCAAGCCCCGGACCTGGAGGCTTAAAACTCACACTGGGCATGTGTGCACGTGTGCCCAAAATCCCAAGAGGAGAATAGAGGAGAAGGGATTGCGGCACGGCCGTTACCCTGGGGGTGGGGTATTATCTCTTGCTTTCTGTCTCTCTGTCTCTCCAGTAAGCTCACACTCCCTATAGCAAAACTCTCTCTCTAAAGACCAAACCGAACCAAAATGAAATGAGAGAATGTCCTCTAAGCCGCCCTTATAGTACCGCCCACTGCCGAATCTCCTCCCTCCGCCCTTATAGTACCGCCCACTGCCGAATCTCCTCCCTCTGCTCACTCTCGTCCATACGCACGCAGCAACACGTGCCGTGTTACATGTGTTAGCGTGGTTCTCTCCCCATCACTCATCAGAACATAAACTCCACCAGCACGTGGAAACCTGCCGTTGTAGCCCAGCACTGGGAACAGGACCCGGCACATAGCAGCTATAAAATTCGTATTTGCCCAGTGGTTGAATAAATGAGTTGCATAGATATGAAAGGAAGGCAAACCCCTCAGTGGGAATTGGTGAAAGGCCTCAAAAAGGCAAACAGAAAAATAAATAGCAGTGGCCGATAACACATATAAAAAGATAACCTAACTTAGTCAGAGAATTATAAATGAAGAATAACATCACCGTGCCACGTACGGCCTCCCCAGTGGACAGATATTCAAACACTGAATGAAACCGTTCTCAAACCATAGCGCACTAAGTGCCCGCTATCATTCAGTGCGGGCGGAAGTGATAATTCCTACAATCTCTTTAAAGGGAAATGTGGAAAAATTTATCAAAATCAAATGTGCCTACCATTCTGCCCAGCAATGATGAAGTGCCTGGTACTGGGCCGGCCCTCGCAGTGAAAGCAATAGAAAAGGCAGGATAGCTAGGCCTGCCTGCTCCGGGCAGGGCAGGCCACCGCGCAGGCCAGGCCGCCGGGAAGAGGAAGGGGAGGCCGTGGGGAGCCCCTGCCCTGCGTTTGGCACAGGTGGAACACGTAGGACAGATGGGTCAGAGTTGGGGGGAGGCCGAGGTGGCTGGAATTTGGGGGCAGAGCTTTGAAAAGGAGCTGTTACCCCGAGCAAGAGCGTCACACGTGCCTTGTGCGTGGGTGACCCCACCTCTGGCTGGGGTGAAGTAGCTCATGAAAGGAATGGAGCTGAAGAAGCCGGTAAAGGACCCCAAGATGCGAGCGCAAGATCCTCAAACGTACAGAAACGGCGGTAGGAGACAACCTGGGATCCCCAGGGCATGGCAGACATCCTATACGGGGCGTTTCTTAGTGGAAAGACTAAACTAATCCGGGTGTAAAAATAAGACTTGAACAAATCAAGTTGATCTGCAAGTATTAGTAATTTGTACCCCTCTCTGAACAAAATACATATTTTTAGAAGGCACAAAAATTCAGATTTTCAGTCATATTCCATTTACAATCAGCAGTATCCAATAAAAAGTTACTAAGTGTCCCAAAGCAGGAAAATGTGACCTAAACCATAAGAAAAACATAATAGAATTAGGATGAAAAACAACAGAGATGATGGAATTAGCAGAAATGGTCTTGAAATGGCTTTTATAATACGTTCAAGGATTTGAAGAAAAATATGAATATAATAAAGAGATAAATCATCTTTTAAAAATTAAGTGAAATGTCCACGACCAAAATACACACTTTAAATAAAAAAAAAATCCACTGAACAGACTTAACATCCTATTTGCAACTGCCAGAGAAATCTATTCATAACGTGCGACAGAAGCCGTTTAAAGCACGTGACCAAGAGGTGTAGGGAGGCTGAGGAGGACCACGGGTGAGACCTCGGGGACCTGGCAAGCAATACTAAACGGTCTTAAACCGTGCAACGCAAGTCCCAGAATGGTTGGCCAGGAAAAATATTTGAAGAAATTATGGTTACAAACTCACCAAATTTGATGAAAAATATAAATCACAGACCCAAGAAACACAAGAAATCCAAAGTAGGATGAAGTTGCACAAATGTGCACAAGCACCCTCACACTCACGCACATACTCATGCACACTCACACATGCACTCACACACACACACACACATACACACACATGCACTCACACACATACACACACTCACACACACACAATGCACTCACACACATACACACACTCACACACATACACAATGCACTCACACACATACACACACTCACACACACATGTACTCTCACACGTGCACAGTCACACACATGTACACACATGCACTCACACACATACACACATGCACTCACACACATGTACTCACACATGTACACAGTCACACACATGTACACACATGCACCCACACACATACACACATGTACTCACACACATGTACTCACACATATACACAGTCACACACATGTACACACAGGCACTCACACACAGATGCACTCACACACACACACTCACACACACACTCACACACACACACTCACACATACACGCATGCACTCACACACATACACACTCACACATACACACATGCACTCACACACAGATGCACTCACACATACACACATGCCATACACACTCACACATACACACATGCACTCATACATGTACACAGTCACATACATGTACACACATGCACTCACACACATACACACACATGCACTCACACACACACACTCGCACACACACACACAGCACTAAGGTACATCGATGAGATTTCTGAAAACCAGAGATAGAAAATCTGAACTCCAGCAGGCATTTTTAAAAATATGGACAAGCCAATTCTAAAATTTGAAGCAGTTTAGAAAAAGAATGAATTTAGAAGACACACCACCCAGCTTTAAGGATTATTTTCAGGATATATAAGCAAGACAGTGCTGTATTGACCAAAGGATGCACATCGAGATCAATGGAGTCCAGAAATAAACCCACACATAGTTGGTCAATTAATTTTCAACACAGGTGCAATGCCAATTCAATTGAAAAAGAATAGTCTTTTGAAAAATAGTGCTCAACAATTGAATATCCACATGGGAAAAAAAATTGTGTTCAATACTTCACAGCATATACTGAAATGAACTGAAAATAATTTAAATATAAAAGTTATAGCTAAACTTATAGAACCTCTAGAAGAAACCATAAGAGAAAAATCTCCTCTTAGATGATTCGTCGTTTTTTTTTCTTTTATTCTTTGTTTATTTTTTTTTAATAACTTGTTTAATTGCCACATGGTATGTGGTTTCACCAGAGAGGCAGACAGGCAGAAAGAGGAGGAAGGGAGAAAGCATTTTCCCACATGGCATGGTCTTGCTGCAATCTCTTTTCCATTTCTCCGTTCTATCAGGGTTTTGAGGCTAGAATTCAAACCATGACCAGCCATGCGGGATCCAATTCTCTTAACAATGAGGCTACAGGCCAGCCCAGAAGCAGAGTCTTTAGTAAAGAGATGAAAATTAGAGACCATTGATAAAAATGTTGATAAGTTGGTCTGCACCAAAGTTAACAACTTTTGCTTTTAAAGGACATTAAGAAGATAAAGTACTAAAGGACATAGGGAAAAGTACAGTTTGGAGAACTCCCGGTCAGTTTTATCTGAAGTAAAACATACGCCCACCCTATAAGCCAGCTATGTTACTCCTCATTATCTATGCCAAATAAAGGAAATTATCTGTATCCAAAAAGACATATACACAAATGTACATAACAGCTTTCCCATCAAGACATATACACAAATGTACATAACAGCTTTTTTATAATAGCCCCAGACTGGAAACAACTGTCCACCACAGGCAAATTCATGAACAGACTCAAGATAGACTCAAACCAGAGCAAACTAGTGATCCATTCAACAGCGCGAGTGACTCCAGCGACGAAGACCTGGTATCAGAAAAAGACCCAGCTCAGGAGACTGCTGTGTGACACTGCGGGGATGTACTGCTAGATCTGATAACGTGATCTGTATCAGCAGAAAGCAGGTCAGGGTCGTCTGGGGCGCATCTGGGGAAGGGCAGACTGCAAAAGGAGCAGAGGGAGCTTGGCTGGGTGAAGATCACAACTGACCGTGGTGTGCTCACCTGGTGTGAACATTCACTGCACTCAGAGAACTAGGGACCAGCAGTTAGTGTAATGGCTATGTCGCTGGACTCCCATGTAGTTGACCGCAGTTCGAGTCCCAGACCCAGTGGCTTAAAACTCACGCTGGGCATGAGTGCATGTGTGCCCAAGACCCCGAGAACAGAATGGAGGAGAAGGGATTGTGGCATGGCCATCCCCCCTGGGGGTGATTTCTCGCTTTCTGTCTCTGTCTCTCTCTCTGTCTGTCTGGCGAGTGCTTATGCCCTATAGCGAAAAACTCTTAAAAAAAAAAACAACTCAGAGAATTGTACCTTTAAAAACATGCATTTGATAGTATTAAAATTGGATCTCAGTAAAATTGACTTGAAAAGGAAAACAAAAAGATCTGACCGAATGATCTGCCTTACTCCTAGTACAGTATCAATAGTGTTATCCACACATGAAGAGCTGTGCCGCGTGTGTGAAGCCCCTGCACACACCTTGTCGGAGCTGAAAGAAGGAATGAAACTTTTCTCCAGATAATTGTTTGTCAAATACACATTCATGTACCATTGCATCGAAATACAAATAGCATTTTAGGATTCTCAAAAATGAAAGATGGAGGCAACATGAGAAACTAGCCACTGGTCACCAGTGAGAGCCCCATTCCAGCTCCTCTGTCCCAAAACAGGGAAATGTCCTGCCCTCCGTAGCACTTAGCAGTCACAGACATATGCGTAGAAAGTGTGCAAAAGCATGTTTAAGAACAGGTTAACTAGGGACCAGCAGATGGCATAAAGGTTATGTCTCTGGACTCTCATGCAGGTGACCACAGTTCAAGTCCTAGATCCAGTGGCTTAAAACTCACACTGGGTGTGTGTGCATGCATGCCTAAAATCCTGAGAGGAGAATGGAGAAAAGACTGTGGTGTGGCCATTGCCCCTGGAGAGGAGATTTCTCACTTTTTGTCTCTCTGTCTCCTCTCTCTGGTGGGCACATTTGTCCTATAGCAAAAATCTCTCAAAAAAAAAAAAAAAGAGGTTAATTTTTTGCAGCAAAAAATAAGGTAAACTTAAATGACTAATGTTAAGAATGTGTTAAATAAAGCATAACTTGTCTACATACCGAGGAGAGAAGAAAGAGAAGGAAGGGGGAAGGGATGCTGGCAGAAATGATAAAATTGGCAAATGTGTATTACGTTACTGGGATTCGAAGACAAAGACTGAAAATCATAATACCAACATCGGATGAATTTAAAAATTCTTTAGGGGCCAGTTGCTAGTGCTGCAGTGAAACATTCGCTCAAGGGAAGGTTCCTAGTTCAAGCCTGGAACCCTCCCTGAGCACAGCAGGCACAAGCGTGCCTGCGATCCCAGAAGCCATGGCTGGGCGTGGACCTAGGTATCAGGACCTGCTAGGGTACTGTGTCCGTCCGCCTGTTTGTCTCTCTCTTGCTCATGGAAGAAATAAATAAATACACTTCGAAAATAATAATACAAACTCTTTTAAGCAGTTGTTTCTTAAAGAAGAATGCATATGATTACACAGTAGGATGGGATTTATGATACGCAAGTGAAACTAGCATTATTAAGGGAGAGAGAGTTTATAAATAATGAAAAGAAAAAAAAACAAATGAAATAATTTTTTCTATTCTGCCAGCCATGATTATTTTTGAAGAAAAATAAACATTGAGAAAGATGTAGAAAATCCACTAATGAGCTACAGTAAGGGAAATTTTGGTTATAATAGATGAAGCCGTTGTGTCTAATAATGTTTTATTATACAATAACGTAAAGTACATTAAAGAATACAAAAGTGTTAGCATTCACATTGTGTTCAAATCATATACAATTAAAGGGGCCACTTATGTTGGAAAGCCTTCAAAGTCAATTCTTGGAAAAAGTTCAGTTTCCAGTGACATGCACAGTGCAGTGGATGGAGGCCGGGTTATGGTTGATAGGCAGTTTATGTATAGGCCAACTTAAAAAGAGGAGTAACAGATGTTTTAGCCATTCATTGCATTAGGCATAGCAGCAATTGGTCCCCAGAATCATTGTGAAAGAGTTCACAAAATGATAAATGTTATTAGGGTTATTAATACACTGGCAGGCAACTCCGTGAGTAACAGGTTTTCTTATTAATTGTGTAGATGTTAAAATGGAGTTGACGCATTATACTCTGCCTGTCACATTTAGAAGCTCTCCTAAATTTTTTAAAAATAAATTTGATGCTATGTAGCTTTTTTACTCAATTGGTTAAGATTTTTAGATCAAATGGATAATTATGAAATAATGACATATCTTTAAGATACTATATGTTAGGACCAGCAGTTAGCGTAATGGCTATGTTGCTGGACTCCCATGTAGTCGATGGCGGTTTGTGTCCCGGACCCGGTGGCTTAAAACTCACACCGGGTGCATGTGCATGTGCATGCATACCCAAAATCCCAATAGGAGAATGGAGGAGAAGGGATTGCGGTGTGGTCATCCCCCCTGGGGGGGTGATTTCTTGCTTTCTGTCTCTCTATCTCTCTCTGTCTTTCTGGCAAGCACACACACCCTATAGCAAAAACCTCTTAAAAAATAAATAAAAATAAAAAGAGTAGACTGAGCTAAAAACTGACTGAGCCAAAGCTTAGCTTAACGGACTATTTCATAGCTGTTCTCAAGCAGAGTTCACTTCTCCATGTTCACTTCTTCGAAAAGAAGCTGAATGAGTCATGATAGCATTTATTGGGTTGTTGGGGAAGTCACGTTGCATTTTTGCATAGAAAAGCATAGAAATACGTGAAATGACTTTCCTGACAGCCCAGTAGTTGCTCAGGGACGGGCGTGAATTGAGGCAGCTTCATAGCCTCTTCTTGGTAGCTCAGTCTTCTCACCTGATAAATGGAAGTTACAGTGATGCATAACTTAGAAGTACATTTGGAAGGTTAAATAGTGTTCAGTACTTACTGAACACTTGGAACTGTTCCAGGCATGTGGTGTCGTCTATAATTACAAATATCTTGTAAGGCTGCATAGCAGCGTTACGAGGGACCACAGGGACAACTCACTGACTGTTGCCACAGCTCACTAGGAGGTCTGAGCTGGAACACTGATTCAACCGAAGGCCACCCTCTGCCACCCTGATCCCTCAGCTCAGCTAAGAATGACAACCCACCCAAGAATTCTGTGAATTCCTCTGAGGCGGATATGCTGTCTCCCTTTCAAAAACTTTATGTTTTCTGGTCACGTGACTAAAAACACATGTTCTGGTGATTTTTTTAACCCTGCCACTAGGTAATATTCTGCAGGAGCGCCTTATCCTGTGTGCGCTCTGAACTTGTGCTCTCCAACCTCAAGTTCCTCAATCCTGTGTGACATAATCCATTTACAACCCTCCCTGCCCAAGAGGAGAGAAATACAGGCACGAAATGGATCCTGGCCGTGGTTAACGACTCTGTGTGGGGGGCCTGCGGTGGAGGAAATTTCCATGAAACATTTGGCCCCTCGTCCTCATGCTTCTGGAACATCACTAAATGCAGAGTCATTGAGCACCTGAGCCGCGCCGTTCCACCAGGAGCAGTAAAAGAGAGCATTTCACAGACGGGCCGGGAACGTTTTCTTTCAGCTCTCAGAGGTAAGTTCTGCTGTTGATATTTGGTTTAAGTCCTGCACATTTTAATATTGGATTCTTTGTGAGGAGTTAAATGTAGACTGTATTTGGATCAACACAGAAAAATTACAAGCAGACTTTTTTTAAGGTCTACTCTGAAAGCTGACATTCAGTGAGAAATTTGGAACAAGCAGCAGAGAGGGCGAATGCACCAGGGAACGCGAAGTCCAGCCCAGTCTGCTACGCGCCGGGCAGCAGGTAACGTGCGCCTCCTCTCACTGTTCGGCTTTTAAACTATCCCCAGTAGGAACGTACTACCTTTGTAACTTCAGGTGACCTCCGTACTTGTTCTCGCTGTCACTGTCGTCTAGTTACTGCCGTCTCCATCACATTGATGCAGTAGATGGCAGCTCGCTCAGACACACTTGGCAAGCTCGCCTACCATCGGCTCCCACGATCACCAATTTATTAATTGTTGGTGGTTTTCAAGGCAACAGCTCCAGTCTGAACTCCTTCCTGATGTCCAACAGCCTGTTGGGCATCTCCACTTGTGTATCCTACTAATAATTCAAACTTCAGATAGACTGGGGCCAGCCGATGGCGTACTGGTTATGTCATTGGACTCCCATATGCTGTACCAGGGTTCAAGTCCCAGACCTGGAAGCTTGAAAGTCACGCTGAGCAAATGTGCATGCTTGCCCAAAATTCTGAGAGGAGAATGGAGAAGAAGGGATTGCGGCATGGCCATCCCCCATGGGGGCGGGGAGGGTGACTTCTCACTTTTGTGTCTCTCTGGCTAGCACACACATCCTATAGCAAAAATATCTCTTAAAAAAAAATAAAAAACTTCAACTATACGAAAGTGAATTCAGCAATAGAAGCTAGATTAATAAAGAACCCTACATTAACACCTCCAGATGTTAAACTAAATATCAACAGCAGCAGAATTCATGTCTAAGGATGAAAACGGATACTCAAGCTGGGTGGGTCTGGGTCAACTTAAAAAGCAAAATGATTAAAGATAGTAATGCATTACTTAACCTGAAAAATAAAAATACAGGGGTTTATAATTATAGTAAGTAGATAAATACACACGGGAGAGATCATGGGTGGATGACAAACCCTAGAGGAGTGAAGGACAGTAAATGAAGAACTTCCACCATGCGTGTGGTCACAAAGCATCTCTGTATAACTGCCTGGAGGCTGCAGAGCCTAAACAGTAACTACCTGGGGACACAAGACAATTCCTCGATGAGGGGTCAGGATTCACATCGACGAGAAGTCATGTGCGTGCCTGCATGAAGTTCCCTGAGAAGGGTATGTCTCACTTATATAATATTAAGCTTTACTATAGGGGTCAACAGGTAGCTTGGTGGTTAGGGTGCTGGACTCCCTCCCACATGACTGACTATAGTTTGAGTCCTGGACCTGGAAGCTTGCTTTCTCACTTTCCCTCGCTCTCTCTCTCTCTGGCCTAATTAAAATAATAATAATAGTAGATAAAATAAAATAATTATTTAAAAGAAAGACCTAGGATACATAATCTTCATCTAATTTTTTAAAAAAATAAGACAAAAATAATACAATTCTAAATGTAAAACATTCTATTTTTAAAAGGATGCTATACTCTCTTTTTTTATTTATTTAAGAGAGATTTTTGCTATAGGGTGTGCACACTTGCCAGAGAAACAGAGAGACAGAAAGTGAGAAATCACCCCCTAGAGGGATGGTCATGCTGCGATCCCTTCTCCTCCATTCTCCTCTTGGGATTTTGGATTAACATACACATGAGCCTGGCATGAGTTTTAAGCTGCCGGGTCTGAGACTCAAACCATGGCTGACTATATGGGGGCCCAGGGATGTAATCTTTACATCATCCACTGGTCCCTCTTTTCAAGTTTATTTATTGAGTTGTCGGAAAAGTCATGATGCATTTTTGCATAGAAAAACAACATCATGACTTTCCTGACCACCTAGTATTTATTTCTCCTTCTGTGAGAAAACCCTCCAGCAGGGTCTTCTCATAGCAGTTTACCCCTAGCCCCAGCCAGCCAGGAGGGCGGGCATGCATGTGCATACCCAGCATGCACTGGGAGACCTCATGATGCCATCTTGGGATCTGTAACAAGGAGTGGTCACGTAGGCATGTCATGGCCAGTATGACCTCAACAGTGGTGGCATGAACATCTTCTATTTATGCCTTTACAGGGACGGGGTGGGACCTCCCTTTGCCTCTCTGTTCCCTCCTACTGGCTAATGCAGATGCAGGGGGGAGTGCTCATCTTGGACTGTGAGACAGGAAAAAGTCTATGTTTAACAAGGCAGGTTAACAAGGCAGAGTGGGCTCGAGCCTTTAACGACCTAGCTGAGGAGGGTTACCATAGAGCTGAGACTTTTATATGACTGGTTAATAAATTTCCTTCGGGTGTAAGCTAATGTTCAGTGCAGGTCTTTGTCATATCAGTGGAATGATAGGCTAACAGACGCAAGATGTGCCAGGCACTATTATTTAAATATGCTCCTACCTCCAAAGGAGGCCTATTGGAGAGGATCCTGCTTTGGATCACTTGTCTCCCTTTGGGTTAATTAACTAAAACAATAGAATTTTTTAAAAAGATGTATGGTCTAGGCCACACGCATTTTATTTTTTGTTTGTTTGTTTGAGATTTTTGCTATAGGGCACGTGTGCTTGCTGGAGAGACAGGGAGACAGGGAGACAGAAAGTGAGAAATCACTCCCCTGAGGGGATGGCCATGCTACAATCCCTTGTCTTCCATTTTCCTCTTGGTATTTTGGGTGTACACGCACATGTTCCTGGCATGAGTTTCAATCCACAGGGTTCAGGACTCGAACTGTGGTCAGCCAAGTAGGAGTCCAACACCTTAACCACCATGCCACCTGCTGGCCTCCACACCCATTTCTGTGACCAAATCAGTGTAATATTGACTGGTAGTCCTAGCAGTCATACTAGATGGGAGAAAAGCCATTTCACTATCCATGAAAAGGATAGTGCTGAACAGTCAAAAACAAGAGATATTTTCTAGAGATCAGAAAATGTAAATGAGAACCTTTAGTAACAGTGTATTTTCACATATTTTAAAACACATGTATAGAAAGAGTAACAAAGTTTTTCTAATTAGAAAAGGAGTCTAACTCCCAACCAGTGTTATCAAAACCAAGAATACAGCAAGTCTTGAAATATAGAAAATCTCAAGAGACTATGGAGCATGCTCTCCCCTCTGAAATGGTGCCTCTCATCACTGTGCAGGACTGGTGAGATGAGGCTCCAGCGATCTACTCTTTGACTTTGATTCTTTTCCAAACAGCTGGTCCTGTTTTAGCAGGAGATTTTAAAGATCATGGACTTCAAATTGGAGATGAAGATTCTAAATCCTCACTGCCCCACTACTAAGTTTTACCCTCTTGATGATTACAAGTGTAAGAACAGAAGAAGGGATTTACACCCAGAAGAGGAGTAAACTTACACCCAAATGCATCTGAGGGCCCCATGGCTTCCATGGGTTTGTTCACCAACTGCCCCATCAGTACAACACCATGGAAGAGTTATATCCACCCAATGCCATATGCTTAGCATGACACTTAGCATAAAAGGAGTGTTTTTCATTCCCTTATTTGTAAACTTTTCTGTAGTTCTTCATCTTCCTTTTGCTTCTTCCCAAAGACTGACCACTTTGCTCTGTGTGACATTATCCATTCCCTTTTACTTGATATCTGGACTCATAAAATCATCTCTCCTGGATCCTTGTAAAGATGGCTTCAAGCTTCCTTTTCAGCGATACGTTCCAGGTCTACACTGGTCAATGCCTTTTGGAGTTTGCATTAGTTACCAGAACTCTAAACAAGTAAACCGTTTCTGTAAGAGCCTCTCTCACAAGCTCTTTACTTTCTTCTTTACTGTTGTCTTAGTCTTTCAGACATAACTCATATTTTTTATCATCATATAAAAGAGTAAAAGGGAAAATAAACCCTGACTCAGCTCCATCATTCAAAATTCACTTGGTTTCTGATTTACTTACCCAATCATGGTCCCTTCCCACAAAAGTTATCAATGTTATTTGTCAATGTCTACAAGGCTTTTCCATCCTTCAGGATAAATTTCTCAAAGGAATCTTCTGAAGAATGGGAAATGTGGCTTTGCCAAAAGTAAATTATGTTGAATAGGAAAAAGTTTGAAATGGGTTCCAAACTTTGAACCCATGTTTTTTGAGTGAGTTGTATACATAGCATAATGTTCTCCAAATTCTAGTTGCCATTATTGTTCATTTATCAGATACGTGATACCAAATAACATGTTTGTTTCCATTTTCCCCCTTGGCTTAAGGTCTTTCTCACAAGAAGGTTAAGTTCCTCCCACAAATAATCACAGGGTGTGTCATTTGCAATTTCCACCTTTTCCTTGAGTTCAGGAGCTGAAACTCACTAGGTTTTGATATACTTTATTTTAGCAATAAGATAAGCAAATCTATCCAAAAAAAAGGATCCATGATAATTTCTTTTGGAGTGCAACATAATAATCAAGATTTTTTATTTTTTTAAAGGATGGTGGAGTAGCCATTCCAGATCTGGCGGTAAGAAATCTCTTAATTGCCGAAACATGACTGCCTTGTACAAGAGGACTTTTGACAGACACTTAAACCAACCCAAACCTATTGTTACAAAGGAAAGAATGTGGGCTAAGATCAACAGACAGATTTCTAAATCTAGAGTTTTTTCCCCCCAAATATAAAGCTCAGAATTAGTGTTTTTCATCTTTTAACTTCCCATCATTTAAACACTTCTAAGTATGCCTTGGCTGAAAATGTAATGCTGACCTTAATTCTAAAGTTGGAAGTCAGAACAAAAGTCACTTGGTTTTTCCAGTTCTTTGATTTATTTGTTCATGTTTATTTGTTTTGTCAACAGAAATAAAATTTTACTTTTCTATATATCCAAAGATAAGCTCCGTATTGAGCAACACATAAAAATTTGAGCCCAGATGGATATCTAGCTTAGTCTCTGAATTGTAGTATGAAAATGAGAAGAAATCACAGCCCCGAGAAATATTCTAATCATGAATGCCCACTATACTGACTGCAATAAGCAGCCTTAGAGTAGGGAGATTCACTATGCATGCTAAAATAAGTAAGAAACTTAGCTTAACTTGTGATTCAGCTGTACAAGATGTTAGTGGCCTAAAGAATTAAGACTCCTAAGCTTCGTCCCTTCAAAGTTTATCGTTGTCCCACCAGTTTGTCATATCCTCCTACCCCACAAAAATGAGAAAATACAACAAACGTGAAAGAAGAAATAGAGAATGGGCTCCAGAGCACCAAAAAGCTGAGACAGTCTGCACGAGCATGTACAGAAGGTAAGGTATGATGAGGACGCAGGTGCTGTGGTGGGTTACAGACTGGATCCCACATGGCTGAGTGTACAGTTCAAATCCGAGGGCTTGAACAACATGCCAGGCACGTGTGTGTGCATGTCCAACATCTGGAGAGGAGAACGGAGGAGAAGGGATTGTCACTTGGCCATTCCCCTGGGAGGTGCTCTCTCACTTTTCCTCTCGTTGTCTCGCTTTCTCTGCCTCTGTCTGTTGAGTGCATACACCCTCTAGCAAATTCAAAAAATTAAAAAGCATGGAGTTATTCCTGAGATAGATTAGGAAAATGTCTTTTTAAAAGATAAAGAAATGAAAAATTTGAAAATTTTCCATTAGTGGGAGAAATGAGGGTTTCTGGTAAGAATTAGAATGGCCAAAGTCTGGGGAAAACTGATGGAGCGAGAGCATCAGAGGCCAGTACTGAAGTGAGAGCCTGCTTCAAAGGAGAGCTTTGCACGGATCACCTCGAGTCTGAGTTTGCAGAGTGCTGGACACAGAACATGAAATCTCTTGTCGTTATCTGTGCGTGCACTAAAGAGCCTGTTCGTTCACTGAGCCTTATCAAAATGGGATTAGGAAACATACTTAACAGTACATATGATCCAAAGCAGACCCTTTACATAATTTAGTATGTGTCATGAAGAGCCAGGCTTCACTCTCCAACCCTCGGCTTATGAGTAGCATTAGACTTTAAGGCAAGGTTCAAAAGACCATGGGTACAAGGACATTCATCAAATGGAAATGCAACCGTTATATTCCAGGCTGAATACTCACGGCTATCAGATATTTCATCACTATGACACTCTTAATAAAAAAGCTTGCGGACTGATACTGTGCATGCTTCAGAGGGTTGATAATTTTTCTAAACCTATTTATAGAGTTGATAAAAGGACCCTTGGTTTTTCAAAGTATAGACAGATAGATATAGATATGTCTCTAACCATATAGCAACAGTATAAGAAATTTTAAAAGCATATTCCACTCTGATAAGAGATGAATCATTTGGAATTTTTTAAATCCTAACTGGCTCTGGAAACTCTTAAACTTACCTAGCTGACTGGTAGTAAATAACAGAACTTTGTCCTAACTTTCTAGTTCTTACTGAGCTGCATAAAAGCCAGTTCTGTGCAATTAGCATGTTAACTTGTAGACATAGAACTTGCTGAGTGTATAGAAAATAAGAATCAGCCACCTCGATTCTTCCATCAGGGCCTAGCCTAAACCTGGGAACATTGGCCACTGAGCTAATATACTCAGTATAATTAATTAATTACTCATATAACTAGTTTTATATGATCTCAATTAAAATTCCAGTTATTTTGCACATATCAAGAAACTGATAGTAAAATCTATGTAGAAAGGCAAAAGACCCAAAATAGCCAACACACCTCTAGAATAACAAAACTGGAGCACTGTCGTTGCCTGACTTCAGGACTTACTCTGATCCACAGTAACCCAGACAGCAGGCTACTACAGATCAACAGGAAAAAATTAGAGAGCATGGAACTTGACCTCCATGAATGTAGTCAGCCAGTCTTTGACAAATGAGCAGAGGCCATTCAATGGACAAAGGACAGACTTGGCAACAAGTGATGCTAGATCCATATAAATATCCGATTTGTTGAAATATGCAAAAACCTGACCTACAAACAGATCTCTACCTTTCACACACACACAAGTGCAGGATAGATTATAAACCTAAATGCAAGATGAGTTAACTATAGAACTTCTAGAAGAAAATATACATGACCTTGGTTTGGTAAAGAGTTTTTACATATAATGCCAAAAGCATGAACCATGAAAACAAAACTTTTAAACTGAACTTTATTAAAATGAAAATCTTCTCTCTGTGAAGACACTGTCAAGAAGATGAAAAGACAGGCCAAAGAGTGGGGAAAACATCTTTGCAAAATAGATATCTGATAAAGGACTCTCATCCAAAATATTCAGAGAAATCTTCAAACTCATCAGTAAGAAAACAACCTGACTGAGAAAACAAGCAAAATATCTGAACAGCCACCTCAGCAAAGAAGACGCACAGATGACCAATAAGAGGATGAAGAGACGTAACATAGCGTGTCATTAGGTAGTTGTGAATTAACACAACATTTGAGATACCGTAGATGCCCACCAGAATAGCCCAAATCTCAAACACCGACAACGCCAAATCCTGATGAGGGCTGGAACAACAGGGGCTCTTGTTCATTCTGGCAGAAATGTAAAAAAGCCACTTGGAAGTTAGTTTGGCATTTTATTCGAAGCTAAACAGAGCCAGATGATCTAGCAATAACCCTCTTGGATATTCACCACCTGATTTGAAAAGTGAGGTCAAACGTCTGCATATGAATATTTATTGTGGCTTTATTCATAATTGTCAAAAGCTGAAAGAAACCAATATGTCTGTCATTGGTAATGACAGCCTAAAGTATAATACAAATATCCATGGCACTACTTAAGCAAACCATGACATATCCAAGCAATGGTGTATTCAGTCTCAGAAAAAAATGAGCTATCAAGCTCCTGAAATACGGATGAACCTTAAAGGTGCTTTTCCATGGAAAAAGAAAAATCCGTTTGAACAGACTATATAGCTTATGATTTCAGTGAGATGACATTCTGGAAAAGGTGACAGTATAGAGACAATAAGTAGGTCCGTATTTGTGAGACGTTCAGGGAGGGGAAGGCGAAGCACCGGTAACATCTTAGGGCAGTAAAACTGCTCTGTGTGGAACTGCGGTTCTGGACCAAGCCCAGAGAATGTTTCAACTCAAGTGAAGCTTAATAATACCACGTAGGACATCAGGGGTCCCCGCATGGAAGGCAGAATGTCTCAGCATCATCTGTGTAAGCGCATGGAACGACTCAGTGGAGGGTGGTTGGAAATGCTGCTGAGCTAAGTAGCCTTGGGAATGAAGCGTCCAGAAGACTAAGGACAAACGGAACGTAAGAGCTGGGCAGACCTCAGTGAGTGGCGCTGCTTCCCACGAGAGCATGGGAGAAGATTTGGATTCTGCTCTACATGCATGCTGGAATTCGCATTTAGGTAAATGGATTGTGAGCAGTGGGAGCCAGACCTCTAGCTGTTGGAACAGGAATTCACAGATGTACGTGGGAGGAAACAAAAACCATCCATGTGGTACGGGTCAGAATGGAGCATTTTTGCATTTTTGCATTTTTGCATACAAAAACGTAGAAACGATACGTCATGCCTTTTCTAACACCTTTTTCTCACTCAGGTGTGGTATGCCATTCACAACCCATTTGCCTCATAGGAGACATGACTAAATGTAAAGCTGCATCCTGGATGGCATTCTAAACACCAAAAAAAGGAACATCAGGTGAAAATGAATGACGTTTGAACAAAATATGGGCTTGAGTGATAATAATATAAGGATACTGGATTGTTAATTGTAACAAATGTACTATGTTAATACAAGATGTTGCTAGAAGGGAAACTAGCCCCGGCCCTGTGGTACGCACTGCTGAGATGCTGAGCTCCACAGGCTGGGACACATGGAGGCCTGGGTTTGAGTCCCAGTCCAACCTAAGAGGCTGGCACATACCTATACTCTGAGCAGCTCAGGAGCCTGAGGCAGGGGATCCCAAGTTTGGGGCCGGTCAGGGCAACTTAGTGAGACCCTGTGTCAAAAAGGCTGGCCTCCGCAGGGCCCTCCTGCAACAGCCTATCTAAAAACAGAGGGATGGATTAGACGGGGCGATGAGGCATTTCTTCACAATCTTTGCAACGTTTGGGAAATCTAAAACCATTCCACCACGAGAATTTTGTTTTAGTAGAAAAAGCTGTTTGGAGATTGTGTGATTAGATAAAGAATAAAGGAAACAATATCTTCCACTAAAGAACCACTTTGCACTGATAGAAATGATCATTAGCCATGCATAATACCAAAATAGAAATAGTCAAGTATTTTCAATCATTAATCAAATATTTCTACCTACATTTTAAGATAATCATTATGCCCAAAATATCACATTTTCTATAACTTAGAAATGAGTTTTAAAATGTTAATATTAAACATATTTTTAAGTGAATGATTCTGAATCTCATAGGAAAAGTTATCTGTCATTCTATTATACTCACAAGTGGTATGTTAGTATTAGAAGACTGAGATCTAGTCTAAAAGTTACAAATATCAGAAAATACTATTTATTCGGAAGAGACACAGTTTTGAAAAGTTAGATCAAGGAAAAAAGGCAAAAAGATAGTCAAGTGACAAGCCCAGAATGTAGTTTAGTAAATTTAAATTATTAAATAGTATTAATTTTAAAATACCAAATAGTTGTATGTGACATACAATAATCCACTATTTTGGATCTTTAAACAGAGAAAAAG